CTTAGTAACTTGGCAAGACCTTGGAAACTTAATGAGACCTTGTCTCAAAATAAAAAATAAAAAAGGGTTGGGGATGTGACACAGTGGTTAAGCACCCCGATACCAAAACAAAAAACAAAAACAAACTTTCCTTCCTATTTTGAAAAGAACCAATATCAAAAGCAACAAAAATTCCAAAAAGGACTGCAGTGAGAGTTAGAATATTACTAAACTGATTTGCAGCTTGGCTTCCCATTAGCACTGAATCCTTGTTTTACAAAGTAGTTTAAGATTGTATTCGGTATTTCAGAAGCTGTAATATAAAACTGGTGGCTTCATTAGGGCTGAGTTACTTTTAAACTCAATGGACTCTACCATCCAACAATGAAATTGAAAAAATTAACTATTTTTCCAAGAAAAATGGGTCTTATGAACTCAAGCCTAAAATCTGGAAAATGGAGTTATTCATTTTGCAAATAATTCCCTAACATCATAAATTAATTAAACCAAGCAGCAAATATTTTCACAGATCAATGAACTACTGCTAAAAGGTACAGTCCAATTAAATTATAGCCTTGGTTAAATGTCATTGCTTTATCCCAGTGAGCCTTTCAGAATTGAGTCCTATTAACTAATTCAACTGTTCAACCAGAAGTTGTATTACTTTCAAAAATTCCAAGTATCAAACATCAATTCTACTTGGCAGCTGACCTTTATGTTCAGATCACATTACTTTTGAGATTTACAAATGCTAGTTTGCAATGCAAAGTAAGATGGGGGGAAGAAGCCGGGTGCGGTGGCACAAGTCTATAATCCCGGAGGTTCTGGAGGCTGAGGCAGGAGGACTGCAGGTTCAAAGCCAGCCTCAGCAAAAGCAAGGCACTAAGTAACTCAGTGAGACCCTGTCTCTAAATAAAAAAGGGCTGGGATGCGGCTCAGTGGTCGAGTACCCCTGAGTTCGATCCCCGGTACTCACCCCAACCCACTGCCCCCAAAAACAAGGAATAGAGGGAAAAGATAAATAAAAGAAAATGATGTTATACGGGATGAAAAAGGCAATATCACAACAGACGCTACAGAAATACAGAAGACAATTAGAAATTATTTTGAAAACCTATATTCCAATAAAATAGAAGATAGTGAAAACATCGATAAATTCCTTAAGTCATATGATTTGCCCAGACTGAGTCAGGAGGATACTCACAACTTAAACAGACCAATATCAATAGATGAAATAGAAAAAGCAATCAAAAGACTTCCAACCAAGAAAAGCCCAGGACCGGATGGGTATACAGCGGAGTTTTACAAAACCTTTAAGGAAGAATTAATACCAATACTTTTCAAGTTATTTCAGGAAATAGAAAAAGAAGGAGCTCTGCCAAATTCATTCTATGAGGTCAACATCACCCTGATCCCGAAACCAGACAAAGAAAGAAAGAAAACTACAGACCAATATCTCTGATGAACCTAGATGCAAAAATCCTCAATAAAATTCTGGCGAATCGGATACAAAGGCACATCATAAAAATTGTGCACCATGATCAAGTAGGATTCATCCCTGGGATGCAAGGATGGTTCAATATATGGAAATCAATAAATGTTATTCACCACATCAATAGACTTAAAAATAAGAACCATATGATCATCTCGATAGACGCAGAAAAAGCATTCGACAAAGTACAGCATCCCTTTATGTTCAAAACATTAGAAAAACTAGGGATAACAGGAACTTACCTCGACATTGTAAAAGCTATCTATGCTAAGCCTCAGGCTAGCATCATTCTCAATGGAGAAAAATTGAAGGCATTCCCCCTAAAATCTGGAACAAGACAGGGATGCCCTCTATCACCACTTCTATTCAATATAGTTCTCGAAACACTGGCCAGAGCAATTAGACAGACGAAAGAAATTAAAGGCATAAAAATAGGAAAGGAAGAACTTAAATTATCACTATTTGCAGATGACATGATTCTATACCTAGAAGACCCAAAAGGGTCTACAAAAAAACTACTAGAACTAATAAATGAATTCAGCAAAGTGGCAAGATATAAAATCAACACGCATAAATCAAAGGCATTTCTGTATATCAGCGACAAAACTTCTGAAACGGAAATGAGGAAAAACACTCCATTCACAATATCCTCAAAAAAAATAAAATACTTGGGAATCAACCTAACAAAAGAGGTGAAATATTTATACAATGAAAACTACAAAACCCTAAAAAGAGAAGTAGAAGAAGATCTTAGAAGATGGAAAAATATACCCTGTTCATGGATAGGCAGAACTAACATCATCAAAATGGCGATATTACCAAAAGTTCTCTATAGGTTTAATGCAATGCCAATCAAAATCCCAACGGCATTTCTTGTAGAAATGGATAAAGCAATCATGAAATTCATATGGAAAAATAAAAGACCCAGAATAGCAAAAGCAATTCTAAGCAGGAAGTGTGAATCAGGCGGTATAGCAATACCAGACTTAAAACTATATTACAGAGCAATAGTAACAAAAACAGCATGGTACTGGTACCAAAACAGGAGGGTGGACCAATGGTACAGAATAGAGGACACAGAGACTAATCTACAAAGCTACAACTATCTTATATTTGATAAAGGGGCTAAAAGCATGCAATGGAGGAAGGATAGCATCTTCAACAAATGGTGCTGGGAAAACTGGAAATCCATATGCAACAAAATGAAACTGAATCCCCTCCTCTCGCCATGCACAAAAGTTAACTCAAAGTGGATCAAGGAGCTAGATATCAAATCAGAGACTCTGCGTCTGATAGAAGAAGAAGTTGGCGCCGATCTACATATTGTAGGGTCGGGCTCCAAATTCCTTAATAGGACACCCACAGCACAAAAGTTGATAACAAGAATCAACAAATGGGACTTACTTAAACTGAAAAGTTTTCTCTCAGCAAGAGAAACAATAAAAGAGGTAAATAGGGAGCCTACATCATGGGAACAAATTTTTACTCCTCACACTTCAGATAGAGCCCTAATATCCAGAGTATACAAAGAACTCAAAAAATTAAACAATAAAATAACAAATAACCCAATCAACAAATGGGCCAAGGACCTGAACAGACACTTCTCAGAGGAGGACATACAATCAATCAACAAGTACATGAAAAAATGCTCACCATCTCTAGCAGTCAGAGAAATGCAAATCAAAACCACCCTAAGATACCATCTCACTCCAGTAAGATTGGCAGCCATTATGATGTCAAACAACAACAAGTGCTGGAGAGGATGTGGGGAAAAGGGTACTCTTGTACATTGCTGGTGGGACTGCAAACTGGTGCGGCCAATCTGGAAAGCAGTATGGAGATTCCTGGGAAAGCTGGGAATGGAACCACCATTTGACCCAGCTATTGCCCTTCTTGGACTTTTCCCTGAAGACCTTAAAAGAACGTACTACAGGGATACTGCCACATCGATGTTCATAGCAGCACAATTCACAACTGCTAGACTGTGGAACCAACCCAGATGCCCTTCAATAGATGAATGGATAAAAAAAATGTGGCATTTATACACCATGGAGTATTACGCAGCACTAAAAAATGACAAAATCATAGAATTTGCAGGGAAATGGATGGCACTAGAGCAGATTATGCTTAGTGAAGTTAGCCAATCCCTAAAAAACAAATACCAAATGTCTTCTTTGATATAATGAGAGCAACTAAGAACAGAGCAGGGAGGAAGAGCAGGAAGAAAAGATTAACATTAAACAGATACATGAGGTGGGATGGAAAGGGAGAGAAAAGGGAAATTGCATGGTAATGGAGGGAGACCCTCATTGTTATACAAAATTACATATAAGAGGTTGTGAGGGGAATGGGAAAATAAACAAGGAGAGATATGAATTACAGTGGATGGGGTAGAGAGAGAAGATGGGAGGGGAGGGAGGGGGGATGGTAGAGGATAGGAAAGGTAGCAGAATACAACAGTTACTAATAGGGCATTATGTAAAAATGTGGATGTGTAACCGATGTGATTCTGCAATCTGTATTTGGGGTAAAATTGGGAGTTCATAACCAAGTTGAATCTAATGTATGAAATATGATATGTCAAGAGCTTTATAATCTTTTGAACAACCAATAAAAAAATAAATTAAAAAAAAAAGAAAAAAGAAAATGATGTTAGAGTATAGAATTTTGCTTATAATGGGCAGTCCCAAAGATGAGCTGCAGCTCTAACACAGTGAAGTATTGGCTCAAGCACAAGGCCTGACCCGTTCTTCCTCTGGGCTGCTGATAAATGTGGTTCTATCATCCCAGTCAAATAACAGGCAGAGGACAGCAGACAGAGCACATGCTTACAGGAGAGATGCAAAGAAGCTCTGTGGCAGAACACATCCTTAAGCAATGCTGTCCTGTGGACGATGCTGTCTCACTCACATAAGGACTAGAGGACAGTGAGAATCACCTTCAACAAAACACCCGGTGCACTAGAACTTTTCTTTTGGCTGCTATAGATCCACTCTCAACTTCTCTATTCACAGAAGGCTTGCCTATTTCGACTTGGGATTGGCCCAAGGCAGGAAACCCAACAGAAGAGACTTTCCACCCATCAGGCTGCTACTAACTGATCTCAGACACAGTTCCTATTAGAGGCCTCTGTTATTACTGCCCCTTAAGGCCAAGAGGTAATAGATACTCCCTGTGGGATTTTGCCATCCTTTCTGGGTTTCCCTTAACCCAATCCATACTTGAAAATTATCATTTCTGTTAACTCTCCTCTATTATCTCCTTTGAGAGTGTTCTCCAGTTATAGGCAAGACCTTGCCTGACCCATCAAGCTCTTCCATTACCTGTGCTGCCTCCTGTACTTGCTCCTTTACCTTAGCCCTGGATGAGAGGTCTCAAAGAGGGTAAATAGGGTGGAGATGCTCTCCATGAAGAAACAAAGAGTTGAGTACAAATCCATGCGGTTTGGCACATCCTTGCTGCTGTTTGGCACAGACCTCCGTTAATAGCAAAGGAAAGTGCTGGAAAAATACGTAATAAGTGAGCTTACCTGCATTGATTAGATCTGCATCAACTTCATGTTGAAATGGATATGGACCCTGTCAAATACAGCACACATTCAGTTAGTAAAAGGAGATTTTCCTGAATCACATAATAAAACTGTAATATAAACAACTTCCCTAAAGTCCCAGAAAGTTACCATCCAAAGATGTGAAGTGATTATCTTAAAAATAACTCCTCGCTGGGCACAGTGGCACACTCCTGTAATCCCAGCAACTCAGGAGGTTGAGGCAGGAGGATTGTGAGTTCAAAGCCAGTCTCAGCAACAGTGAGGCGTTAACCAACTCAGTGAGACCCTGTCTCTATTAAAATACAAAATAGGACTGGGGATGTGGCTTAGTGGTTGAGTGCCCCTGAGTTCAATCCCCAGTACCAAAAATTAAATTAAATTAAATAACTCCAGTGTTTTCATGGCTTTGTTTTTCATATTGATTAGTCTTTAATACACTAACAGTTGAGACTGGGCAAATGAAAAATATTTTCTAAAAATTACCAGCTTGAAAGAAAAGTTATGCTATTATATGTCAATAATAACACAAAGAAATTATTTAAAACCTATAATACAGTCAATGTTATTCATTAAACCTTTCTGGAAGAATCAATAAACACCAACTACAGAGATATACTGTTCAGATAGAAGGATGATGGCAGCTTTAGCTTTCTGGTATTTGCACTAAAAGCCCTGAATTTGTGGTTTTAATGTTACCTTTCTTTACATCTAAACTGAGACATCCTTATGTCACTTTACTCAGTTATTCTCAGTAAGATGATGATGATGATGATGATGATTATTATTATTTCTGGGTATCAAACCCATGGCCTGGAACATGTGAGGCAAGTACTCTAAGCTACACCTGTAGTCAATTTTGTATATATTTTTAAAGCAATTCTAATTACTTGAAAGGGGTAATTAGTTTTATAAAATAACATATTAAATAAAAAGGGAGGAAAAAAGAGAAAGGGACAATATATGGTAAAGAATAAGAAATACTGGCTATGAAATTTTTATATACCTTCAAAAGAGGGATCTAAAATTTATACTACAAACTGCAGTGGCAACTAATGTTTGAGACCTATGTGAATTTGCCTTTAAATAAATAAATAAAAACTTATTTCTCTTGTCTTCAAAATGAGGAGTTAATCATTCTAGGTTAAGTTCCTTAAACATGTAAGCCTTCTACTGTCATGTATATGTAAAAAGAACAATTTTCTAAAAAAAAAAAAATCTGTAAGCCTTTGACTTCAATCAGAGTCTGCTTTTATCCAGATATACAGCATTCTTGTGCCTTTGAAAATGGTCATGATTATTGCCTCAATCAATATCAACCAGATTGTCCGTGACCATTATTTAATTAAATTTATGTACTAGATGTATAGGTCCCATATGTACAATTTTTATTGCATTAATAATTAAAGTTTACTGAGAAGTAAAAGATTGGAAATATTATAAAAATGGCAAACTATAAATAATATCTTTAATAGTTCATAATTAAGAAAACTTTAATTTCCATCTTACCAAACCCAGGACTCCATTTTCACTTTGAAGATGAACAGTCATATTTGGACTGATGAAGTTGCTGGCCAGAAGAGGGATTCCTATGCCCAAATTAGCTATAAAAAAAAAGATGTTAAGGCCCAACATATCACAGGTAGAGAGATTATGCCATAAACCTTCTGTATATATAAATCTGAACAGAATCCTTTTCAAAAGGGAACTTGCTGTGAATGTAATAACTGCATGTATTCTCTAATCACCCTCTGGGCACTAGTTTGTAATTTTCCAAATAGAAAATCTCTAATTAGTCACAGATTTCTCAATAACATTGATGTGCTTTCCCACCAAGGGTAGTTTCAGAAGCCAGACAAGAGGTCGTTTTAACAAAAGCATTAGACACATTTTATTTTCATTAATATTTTTTGTTTTTGTTTTTGTTTGGTACTAGGAATTGAACCCAGAGGTGCTTTGGACCACTGAGCTACAACCCCGTTCCGTTTTCTTTTTTATTTTGAGACAGGGTATCACTAAGTCAATGAGACTGGCCTTGAACTTATAATCCTCCTGCCTCAGCCTCTAGAGTGGCCAGGATTATAGGCATGTGCCACCATGATGTATCATGATTGATGAATTGTTATATAAGGCTTGACCTTTGCTTAAAAACTATTTTCACTCTATAAAACTGCCATTAAAAACAAAGATGAAGATGGCGGCGAGGGGAGTGCATTACCCCCGTGTGCTGCTTCACTGTGTGGGAGTATGACAAGTCAGGACGGCTAAAGGATATCTTGTTAGGAATTTCCAGCAATAGTGGGGTGCGCCGGAACCTGGAGGAAGGATTTCCATCGCATGAGGATCGGCTACGGGGACTCAAACGCGAGAGGTTTGTCGCACGGAGGGTAACACTGCTTATTCAGCAAATCGCCCCGCGGCTAGAGTCTGCAAGGCGCGCTGGGATAGAGACGCAGGGTTACAGCGCTGCAGTTTCTGCCAGACGCGCAAGCACCGCACTCAGGGCTGAATTCTGGGTTCGAGACGGGGAAGGAAGCGGTCCATCTCGGTTCTCCACACCGGTCAGACCACAGAGGAGGCCAGCAGCCACCATGTTGGTAAACTGACGTCACCACACCTGTTTTTGACTGACCGCAGCTCATTCAGCCATAGAACAGGTAATTTCAGGCTGCAATTCGCCTGTGGCTTGCAGACAGATTGCTAGGGTTCAGCGCCTGGGGGCTTCTTAAAATCTGATCTTATCGGAGTGAACACGGAGCGCGGGGCGGCCGAGTCCCGGCTCCCGGAACCGTCCCGGAACCGCCCTGGCTCCGGGCTGCGGAGCCTGCGGAGGCTGCTTCTTGGACCCTGCTAATATCAGAGCAAACACGAAACACCAAGAAGCCGAATTCCAGCTCCCGGAACTGAGCCCGCGGGGACTGCTTCTTGGAGCTTACACTTATAGGAGCTTACACCGAGCACAGAGCGGCCGAGTTCCGGCTCCCGGAACCGTCCCGGAACCGCCCTGGCTCAGGGCTGCGGAGCCCGCGGAGGCTGCTTCTTGGACCCTGCTCCTATCAGAGCATACACCAAACACTAAGCGGCCGAATTCCGGCTCCCGGAACTGAGCCCGCGGGGGCTGCTTCTTGGAGCCTACACTTATAGGAGCTTACACCGAGCACGGAGCGGCCGAGTTCCGGCTCCCGGAACTTCCCTGGACCGGGGCTAGGAGCCCGCGGAAACTGTGTCTCGGTCCGGGTCCTGCTGAGGGCTGGTCAGGTCTCACCCGTTGCTTGGGTTGCCTGGCAAGGGGAACGAAATGCTGCCATTCGCATAGGATACCAACATGGCAGAGATCTGATGTCAGCAGAAAGCGGTGGAGGAGAGATCTTCATCAATACCAGCGGTGACATAAGCAGTTGGTCTCCTGGTAAGGGGGGTGAGGCTCAGTCACCCGAGTCTCCTCAATTTGTCCTCGAGCCAGAGGGAAGGAGCCGGGCCGCCGCCAGCCCCCGAAGCAGGCCCAGCGGCTCGCCAGCGTGGTGACCGCGTGACCCCAATTGGAGAGGGGGCGGAGCGGAGCCGCCACCCACACCCGCCAGGTGGGCAGACCCACGACCCAGTAGTACATGGGCGTGGTAGGAGGGGCAGGGCAGAGCCGCCCTTCGCGCTTGCAAGGTAAACAGACCTGTGACAGCCTGGCGGGTCAGGCCCAGTGGCCTGCCAGTGTGGTACACACGTCACCCCAACTCGAGTAGGGGCAGAGCAGATCCTTATCCCACGCCCGGATCAGGCCCTGCCGGTGTGGTGGTCACGTGACCCCAATTGGAGTGGGGGTGGAGCGGAACCGCCACCCGTGCCCGCAGGGTGAGCAGACCAGTGATCAACCTGCAGATCAGGCCCAGGGGTCCACAGGCGTGGTAGGAGGGGCAGGGCAGATCCGCCGCCCGCGCCTTCAAGGTAGGCAGACCTACAACAGACCGGCGGATCAGGCCCAGGAGCCTGCCGGCGGGGTACAAACACCACCCTAATTGGAGTAGTGACAGAGCAGAGTCGCCTCCCTTGCCAGGAACAGACCCAGCATCCTGCAGGCGGGGTAGTCACGACACCCCAATTGGAGTAGGGGCAAAGCAGAGCCTCCACTCGTGCCCGAAAGGTGGGCAGATCTGCGACCGACCAGCAGGACAGGCCCAGTGGCCTGCTGGTACGACAGACACGTCACCCCAATTGGAGTAGGGGCAGAACAGAGCCGCCACCAGCTCCCAGAACAGGCCCAGTGACCTGCCGGCGTGGTAGCCACGACACCCCAATTGGAATAAGGAGAGAGCAGAGCCGCCGCCCGCACCTGCAGGAAAGATACGCAAGCAGTATGAAAAGACAAGGAAAGAAAGGACCACAAGCAATGCAGGTCAACGCAACTTTAGAAGAGGTAACAGCTGCAGCAGATGGAATGTCAGATAAAGAATTCAGGATATACATGCTTCAGATGATCTGGAGTATCAAGGAAGACATTAAACAGCAAAATCAGACAATGAAAGATCACTTCGACAACGAATTACGCAAACAAATCCAGGAAGCAAAGGATCAACTATACAGAGAGATAGAGGTTATAAAAAACAAGCAATCAGAAATCCTAGAAATGCAGGAAGCAATAAACCAACTTAAAAACTCAATGGAGAATACTACCAACAGAGTAGAACACTTAGAAGATAGAACATCAGACAATGAAGACAAAGTATTTCAACTGGAAAAGAACATAGACAGCTCAGCAAGACTGTTAAGAAACCATGAGCAGAACATCCAAGAAATATGGGATAACATTAAGAGACCAAACTTAAGAGTCATTGGGATACAGGAAGGTACAGAGCTCCAAACCAAAGGAATGAGCAGTCTATTCAATGAAATAATACAAGAAAACTTCCCAGACTTGAAGAATGAGACAGAATCCCAAATCCTAGAAGCCTACAGGACGCCGAATGTGCAAAATCATAAGAGATCCACACCTAGACACATTATAATGAAGATGCCCAACATACAGAATAAGGAGAGAATTTTAAAAGCTACAAGAGAAAGGAAGCAGATTACATTTAGGGGCAAGCCAATCAGGATAACAGCTGATCTTTCAACACAGACTCTGAAAGCTAGAAGATCCTGGAATAACATATTTCAAACACTGAAAGATAATGGGTTCCAACCAAGAATTGTGTATCCAGCGAAATTAAGCTTCAGGATGGAGAATGAAATTAAAACCTTCCACGATAAACAAAAGTTTAAAGAATTCGCAGCTAGAAAACCATCTCTTCAAAACATCCTAGCCAAAGTATTACAGGAAGAGGAAATGGAAAATAACAATGAAAACCAACAGTGGGAGGTAGGACAGTAAAAGGGGGGGGAAACAATCAAAGAGGAAAACAAACAATGTTTAGTAACAGAAATAAACAAATATGGCTGGAAGAACAACCCATATCTCAATAATAACCCTAAATGTTAATGGCTTAAACTCACCAATTAAGAGACACAGGCTAGTAGAATGGATCACAAAACAAGACCCAACAATATGCTGCCTACAGGAGACGCATTTGATAGGGAAAGACATACATAGGCTGAAGGTGAAAGGTTGGGAAAAATCATATCACTCATATGGACTTCGGAAACAAGCAGGTGTGTCCATACTCATATCAAATAAAATAGATTTCAAGCCAAAGTTAATCAAAAGAGATAAAGAGGGACACTACATACTGCTTAAGGGAACCATACACCAACAAGACATAACAATCATAAATATTTATGCCCCAAACAATGGTGCAGCTATGTTCGTCAAACAAACTCTTCTCAAGTTCAAGAGTCTAATAGACCACCACACCATAATCATGGGAGACTTCAACACACCTCTCTCGCCACTGGACAGATCTTCCAAACAAAAGTTGAATAAGGAAACTATAGAACTCAATAACACTATTAATAACCTAGACCTAATTGACATATATAGAGTATACCACCCAACATCAAGCAGTTACACTTTTTTCTCAGCAGCACATGGATCCTTCTCAAAAATAGATCATATATTATGTCACAGGGCAACTCTTAGACAATATAAAGGAGTAGAGATATTACCATGCATCTTATCTGATCATAATGGAATGAAACTGAAAATCAACGATAAAAGAAGGAAGGAAAAAGCATACATCAATTGGAGAATGAACAATAGGTTACTGAATGATCAATGGGTTATAGAAGACATCAAGGAGGAAATTAAAAAATTCTTAGAGATAAATGAAAACACAGACACAACATATCGGAATCTATGGGACACATTGAAAGCAGTTCTAAGAGGAAAATTCATTGCTTGGAGTTCATTCCTTAAAAAAAGAAAAAACCAACAAATAAATGATCTCATACTTCATCTCAAAATCCTTGAAAAAGAAGAGCAAAACAACAGCAAAAGAAGTAGAAGGCAAGAAATAATTAAAATCAGAGCTGAAATTAATGAAATCGAAACAAAAGAAACAATTGAAAAAATTGACAAAACTAAAAGTTGGTTCTTTGAAAAAATAAACAAAATCGACAGACCCTTAGCGATGCTAGTGAAGAGAAGAAGAGAGAGAACTCAAATTACTAGCATACG